AGGTTTTTAGAAGTGATTTGCTGTCATCATAGGATTCAGAGAAACTGACTAGCCTAAAGTCACTTGGCTTTGTGAGTAAGATAGGACATAAAGATACCTATTTCAGAAACCTTAACCACTACCCCAAGCTGACTCGACAGGAATGATAATTATGACTAAATGTTCAAAAGAGTCTCAGTTTCTGAATTTGATGAAGGATATTCTGCAGATGTTATGTGGGGGTCCAATGATAAATCTGAATACAAAGTACTTGTTTTCGATGAAGTATTATGATTGTCTCTAATTCACTTGAATTTGTTAATGATTCTGAAAATTCAAATAGGATTATTTTTGTTAATAAAAAGGATTTCTTAAATAAAGTGGATTTGATTTAAATTTCTACTCAGAAAGATTTTAGAATTTCTTCTTTTGACATATAATACTTTTGATGTTTAAAATCTGAATTGCGTATAGAAAGTTATGACCACAATTCAACCCAAAATTTATGTTGCTAAGACAGTTAAGTGAGTTTTACCCAATTTACTACCTTTCTTGCACAGTTAAGTAAATCACTGTTAGTTGTTAGTAATGTGGTTGTTAAGTGACTTCCCCATTGACTTTGCTTTCAAGAAGTTGCAAAAGTTGATCACATTACCCTTATACACTGCAACCATCATAAATACATGCCAGTTGCCAAGCATCCAAATTTTGATCACAGACCATGTACATGCTGCAAGTGTGAAAAACAGTCATAAATAACTTTTCAGAACTGTTGTAACCTCGAATGGTCACTACATGAATATTTATAAGTTGAGGAGTACCTTGTCTCTCTCTTGTTCCAGATTAATTTTTAAAATATATAATTATATTGATATATTATATCATATTACAATTATATAAGTATTAGTAACCATCACCAGTTCAATTAACTGAGTGGATATTTGGAAACATTTTTCTATGTCCATCACCAGCTTTCACATTGAACTGATAACTTCTTTAAAGAAATTATCCCAAACAAATAATAAAATTGTTTATTAATAGAAAATATGCATTTGATTTTTGTTTCTTAAAAACAGGCAATTTCAGTCAAGTTAGTGCTAGTAAGTTAAATAACGTTGTAATTAGTGAATACTTTATCTGTTATCTTTTTTTTATTGTCCTGTGAGCGGGGGCAACTTTTCTGCTTTTTTAATTCTTAAATTGCTTTTCAGTTTTGAATCAATTATTCCAAAGAAATAAAAAGTTCTTCTCAATCAATAGAAGAAACCATTGCAGTTAATAGTTGGATTAGTACTCAAAAGATTTTCAGTTGAACTTAGTGTCTTTTACAAATACGATACAGTTGATGTATCATTAGCAAATATATTTTTTAATGATGTCCATACATTGTAAGCCCTCCTTAATAATCCAATGGTAACCCTGATGCTGAATGTTGACAAGGAAATAAACTGGTTCAGTTGCTATGCATTTTTATACAGTAGTTGAATTATCATTGTTTATATCTCTTCAATTTTAAATTTAGCTTCTCCCAAACTTCAGCAGAACCAGAAAAAATAGTTACTTCTTTGAACTTTTTTGAAAGCCATAGAAAAGATGGAATACCGTATTTTTCGGAGTATAAGAGGCACCTTTTTATCCCCAAAAAGGGGGTGAAAATTTAGGTGTGTGTTATACACTGAATGTAGCCCTGCCCTCCCACTGGCCCCCACTCTTGCAGCAGTTACCTCCTTGCAAGCAAACAGCAAGAAAAAAACAGCTCCTTTCAGCTTCAGCATAGACTAATTAGCACAAGTTGATTAGATTGGCCTCCCAACTCTCAGCTGATTTGCTCTCAGCTGTTTTGTGCAGGGCTCTGCTGCTTGCTGCAAAGAGCTAAATGGCTGGAGCAGATTTTTTTTCTCCTTGTGCTAATCAAGCTATGCTGAAAACGACAGCGAGGCAAAATTAGGCAGAGACAAAGCGACATTTCTTTTTTCTTCTTTTTCCTCACCAAAAAAGGTAGGTACAAACAATGTGAAATTTAGAGCAAAAGAGGAGAGTTCAAGATTTTAAACACAAAAGAAAAAGAGAACGAAAAAGGCAAAAATAAAAATGGGAAGGGAGAAAAAGAAATGAAAGAGAAAAATGTTATACATATTTAGAATTGAAATATGAATAGTAGTAAGAAATAAATGGGAAATCATGATTGTAAAAATGAAATGAATAATAATTGGAATATTTGTCTTTGTATTTTTGAAATCTAGACAATGATAAGTTTTTATTTTTTTATTTTTTTTAGAAATATGAATAAGTATAAACTAACAATTGAAATACCTTTAATGGTATATGGTGGTGAAAGTAAAAAAGGATTAAATTGTAGCTTGGATAACAGCTAGAACATTTTTAAATTTAATTAGGGAAGTTGTAATGATTGAAATATTTTTAATTATATATTGTGATTAAGGAAAAGTGATTAAGTTGTGATTTGGAGGATTATATGGGCAAAGCTATGTGGGTTATTGGGAGAGTTTAAGATGTGAAAATAAGTAACATAAGAGGGGAAATTATTTGGTTTATTATTATTGGTAAATATAATTAATTGATTTGTAAGAAGTTGGATTGCATGGAAATAATTGGAATATTCATGTTCATATTGATTAATATACAAAAATATAGTTATATACGTGATGGCGAACCTATGGCATGTGTGCCACAGGTGGCACGCAGAGCCATATCTGTGGGCACGCAAGCATTGCTCTAGCTCAGTTCCAGCACGCATGTGCGTGCCAGCCAGCTGATTTTCGGGCCTTCCTGGCCCACTGGAAGTCGGGAAAGGGGCCGTTTCCGGTCTCCGGAGAGCCTCTGGGGGGTAGGGAAGGCTGTTTTCGCCCTCTCCAGGCTCCAAGAAATCCTCTGGAGCCTGGAGAGTTTGAAAAACAGGCCTACCAGGCCCACCGGTAACCTTTTTGCCTTACTGTGCCAAAAGCAGTGAGGGCGCGAAGGGGGGGCGCACACACATGTGCAGGGGGCGGGGCATGGGGGAATTGAATTATGGGTGTGGGCACACGCATGTGTGACACCCGCCCCCGTGCTCCCCCCACTTTTGGCACGCGGCGGCAAAAAGGTTAGCCATCACTGTTATATAACTAATTTATATTAAAATGTTGAATTTGTATTAAACAATTGTAATATTACATAATTAATCAATGTGAGGAAGACAATGGGAAGGAGTATCATATAGAATAGAAGGGAAAATTGAATTTGATTAAGATTAGAGATAAGGATGAAGGGTAATATTAGTTTTTTAAAAAAATAGATGAAGAATAAATATGGCAAAAAGGAAATATAGAAATTGTAAAATTAATTGAAATGACTAAACACTGTTTAAATTTGTGAACCAGCCAAATACTCTGTTCAAAGAAAATACATTGTATGTTTGTATGTGTGTTTGTCAAAAAAAATAAAAAAAAAACTTAAAAAAAAAACAAAACCAAAAAAGATAGGTGCGTCTTATACTCCGAAAAATACGGTAATTATCAAAAGTTCATATTTTATTTTTTGGTCCAGTATTTTGGCATTCTGACATTTTCCGTGACGATCCATTTTTCCTTTTAAAAGTGATTTGAAAAGATCTTTCATAATGCTTCCACTTTATAAATATTATTAGCCAAATCATAGAAATCCAAATGATATCCATTCTTGAAAAATCTATTGTCTTTCATAAAAATAAATATATTATTTTCAATAACCCTTTTATATCTCTGGCAATCAAAATGCTCCAAATTATACATTAAATTGAAAATGGTTAATTTACCCTCTGTATTTCTAATATTTTTCTGAGAAGTTCCTTTTGTGGAGAAACCACTTGATTCCAATTCTCCAGGAACCATACATTTTCATGTAAAATCCAATAATTTAGCCACATACTGCATAAAATGCTATTTTATTTTCATTTGCGATATAACTTTCCAATATCAAAAATTTAATCTGCCTGTTTTACCCTGACATATGTGCCACAATCAACAGTCAGTATGAGTTTTGGATATAGCTAAGGATTTATATACAAAGCATTTTGTTTCAGTTCTGCTGAAATAAATTCTTCCAGATTTTTTTGACTTAAATATTTTACATATTTTCCTAGTACGTGTTTCTTGTTAAACAAATCACATATTGTTTTAAGTTTTTTATTTTTTTTTCTATTTTGAAGAGATTTTCTACATTGAACAATTTATAATTCATGCCAAGATTTTAAAAAAGTCAATACCTATCAATCTAACTTGAAATAATTTTTATGTCTTGTATCTAATGTCAGATTTCCTTGGTCATTTTTGCAGCTGTCACTTTCATTTGTATTTCTTCCAGTTCTAAAAGATTCCTTGCTTTCTACACAGAGATCAAACCTAATCTATGTTGTTTAAAAGTAAAAATCACCCCTTCTAATTTATCCCATCTAAATCAAACTTGGTTCTGTTTAACTTTTCAAACCCCCTCCCCCAAACTCTCTTCTGCCTAGTGTTCTAATTGGATATGAAAATGTAGATTTAATTTTAAACCTGGTTATTTTAAAATAAGCATACTATATTTTTGCAATGTAAATTGAGGACTGAATATTTTAAAAATCTGTTACAGAATATTTGTATAGATATATCAAAAAATTTACAGCTGTTATTGTAGAAGGCTTTTTATATTTTAATGATTAGGGTTAAATTTTCAAATTTATTTATTTGCTTTCTAAATTAGAAATTAAAACTTTCAATAAACCATTTCAAAGCTTTCAATTTTTTGGATGAAATCTTAGCTTTTGTGATATTCTGAATTAATAATTCAGATTTACACGCTTAAAATTTGCTGGAAGTATTCTTAAATATAAACACACATTTAAAATTTGTTAGGTGACATAATGACCTTTTGCTGTTATTAAAGTTTTTTGATTAAAAAAAAGCCAGCTAACCAGTAAACATGTTAATGGGGTGGCTATAAAAGTGTTCATTGTAATTTACAAGTATAACAATATTTACTCACTAAAACTTTATTTTTATAAGCAGAAAATCAGCAAAATCCAGAAGCAGAAGTCCTTACTCATCCAGACATTCAAGATCTCGTAGTAGACACAGATTGTCAAGATCCAGAAGTCGGCAGTCCAGTATTTCTCCCAGTACTCTGACTCTAAAAAGCAGCCTGGGAGCTGAACTGAACAAGAACAAAAAAGCCAGGGCAGCAGAGGCAGCTAAAGCCAATGCTAAAGTTTCAAACACCTCTACACCTACTAAGGGAACTGATATAGGAATTGCTGTACAACAAGTGAATAATGTAAAGGAAGTAAAAAAGATAAAAATAGAAAATATATCTTCCCCTTCAAATAGTTCAACCTTGAAAAATGATAAGACAAAAACAAAAGTTTCTGTTCAGGAAACTAAAGTGGAAAACAATGTGGTTATAGAGAAAGTGGCTAAACAAAACGTTTTAGCAGCAAAAGAAAATAAATCAACCATTGTTAAATCAACAACACAACCTGTTGTAGTAAAAGAGAAGAATAAGCCTCATATCCTAACTGCAGCATCTAAGGAGAAAGACTGTAGTGTTGCACCAATCACTTCCACTCTGCCACCCCTGCCTTTTCCTCCTATGCTGCCTGAAGATAAAGATACAGATTGGTGAGTTGTGAAATATAATTTTAAAGATGCAGTGTCAACCTGCAAATCCTAGACGGGTTTAATGAAGTGTAAATACTTTTTGTTATTTTAACATTAACTTCTAATCTTACATACGCTTTAAAAAGTGTTTGTAGCTAAAACCAGTCCATTTTGTTGGCTACTTAATAATGTATATAAAGTACATGGATTAGTACTAATGTTCACTGTTCCTTGTATTTTACCAAATGTCTAGATTTTAACTTTTTCTCTTATGTTTACATAAATATGATATTGGAACAATGTATTATGCTTTGTTTTAATTTTAAATGATGCTTTGTTTTAATTTTAAATTTGTCATTTACGCTGATATAAAAAATCTTTTTATTTTGCTATAGTTTGCAAGGTAACATTTCAGTAAAAGCAGTGAAAAAAGAAGTGGAGAAGAAATTACGCCATTTGCTTGCAGACTTGCCATTGCCACCTGAGTTTCCCGGAGGAGATGATATATCTCAAAGCCCTGAAGAGAAAAAGATTCTAGTGCAATCACATCATAAAAAGAGACCAAAGTATGTGCATTTATTTTTTTATATATAGATCATAATAAATATAAAATATTAAAATCATTTTAAATCCTTGTTTCAATCATTGGGGAATTGATAACTGATTCACTATAGAATTCTATTGTAAGATTGCTTTTAGTATTTTGTGCATGAAGTAGAAGAGTTATATTTTAAATTATTAATGGATTTGTATGTTCTTCAGTAGATAAATTCTCTGTAGTCTCCTCATTTTTGTTTTGCATTCAGAACTATAGTATTTGGGCAGAAATATACCAATCCATAGATCATAATGTAGTGTGTTGAATGCTGTGGTAAAATAAGATTATTTCATTGTTATTTGTCTTATATGTTAAGTGCAGGTTGTGAAATAGACTAATTCGAGAACAATTTAAGAACAGAATAAAAAAAAAACTGTTGTTGTTAGTTGCGAAGTCGTGTCCGACCCATCGCAACCCCATGGACAATGTTCCTCCAACCTTTCCTGTCCTCTACCATCCTCTGGAGTCCATTTAAGCTCACGCCTACTGCTTCAGTGACTCCATTCAGCCACCTTGTCCTCTGTCGTCCCTTTCTTCTTTTGCCCTCAATCTTTCCCAGCATTAGGTTCTTCTCCAGTGAATCCTTCCTTCTCGTTAGGTAGCCAAACTATTTGTGTTTCATCTTCAGGATCTGGCCTTCTAAAGAGCAGTCAGGGTTGATCTCCTCTAGGACTGACTGGTTTGATCGCTTTGCTGTCCAAGGGACTTACAGGAATCTTCTCCAGCACCATAGTTCAAAGGCCTCAATTCTTTGGTGCTCAGCCTTTCTTACGGTCCAATTTTCACAACCATATATTGTAACTGGGAAAACTTGACTATACGCACTATTGTTGGCAGGGTGATGTCTCTGCTTTTTAGTATGCTGTCTAGATTTGCCATAGCTTTGCTCCCCAGGAGCAAGCGTCTTTTAATTTCTTGGCTGCAGTCCCCATCTGTGGTGATCTTGGAGCCCAGGAAAATAAAACCTGTCACTACCTCTATTTCTTCCCCATCTATTTGCCAGGAATTGAGAGGGCCGGATGCCATGATCTTAGTTTTCTTAATATTGAGTTTCAAGCCAATTTTTGCACTCTCCTTCTTCACCCGCATCAAGAGGCTCTTTAGTTCCTCTTTACTTTCTGCCATTAAAGTGGTATCATCTGCATATCTCAGGTTTTTGATATTTCTCTTAACGTTTTTGATATTGCAATCTTAATTCCAATTTTTGATTCATCTAGCCCTGCCTTTCTCATGATGTGCTCTGCATATAAGTTAAATAGGCAGGGCGTCAGTATACAGCCTTGCTGGACTCCTTTCCCAATTTTGAACCAATCAGTGGTTCCGTGTCCAATTCTCACTGTTGCTTCTTGACTCACATATAGATTTCTCAAGAGACAAGATGGTCCAGTACTACCATCTCTTAAGAACTTGCTACAGTTTGTTGTGATCCACACAATCAAAGGCTTTAGCATAGTCAATGAAGCAGAAGTAGATGTTTTTCTGGAACTCCCTAGCTTTCTCCATGATCCAGGGTATGGATGTTAGCAATTTGATCTCTAGTTCCTCTGCCTCTTCGAAATCCTGCCTATACTTCTGGTAGTTCTTGATCCATATACTGCTGGAGCCTAGCTTGTAAGATTTTAAGCATAACCTTACTAGCATGTGAAATGAGTGCGATGGTGCGATAGTTTGAACATTCTTTGGCATTGCCTTTCTTTGGAATTGTAATATAAACTGACCGTTTCCAATCCTGTGGCCACTGTTGAGTTTTCCAAAGTTGCTGGCAAATTGAGTGTAGCACTTTTACTGCATCATCTTTTAAGATTGTGAATAGCTCAGCTAAAATACTGTCTCCTCCACTAGCTTTGTTGTTGCTCAGATTTCCTAAGGCCCGTTTGACTTCACATTCTAGGATGTCTGGCTCGAGGTCAGTGACCACCCCATCATGGTTATCAGGGATGTTAAACTCGTTCTTGTATAGTTCTTCTGTGTAATTTTGCCATCTCTTCTTAATCTCTTCTGCCTCTGTTAGGTCCCTGCCATTTTGGTCCTTTATCATGCCCATGTTTGCATGAAACGTTCCCTTTATATCTCCAATTTTCTTGAAGTGATCTCTGGTCCTTCCTATTCTATTGTTTTCTTCTATTTCTTTGCACTGTTCATTTAAGAAGGTATTCTTATCTCTTGTAGCTATTCTCTGGAATTCTGCATTCAATTGGGTGTATCTTTCCCTTTCTCCCTTGCCTTTCGCTTCCCTTCTTTCCTCAGCTATTTGCAAAGCTTCCTCAGACAGCCATTTTGCTTTCTTGCCTTTCTTTTTCTTTGGGATGGCTTTAGTTGCTACCTCTTGTATGTACAATGTTGTGAACCTCCATCCATAGTTCTTCAGGCACTCTGTCTATAAGATCTAATTCCTTAAATATATTTGTCACCTCTACTGTATATTCATCAGGGATATGATTTAATTCATACCTGAGTGGCCTAGTGCTTTTCCCTACTTTCTTCAATATAAGTCTAAATTTTGCAACGAGAAGCTCATGATCTGAATCACAGTTAGCTTCTGGTCTTGTTTTTACTGACTGTATAGAGCTTCTCATCTTTGGCTGCGGAGCACATAGTCAATCTGATTTCTGTGTTGACTGTCTGGTGATGTCCATGTGTAGATCATCTCATGGGTTGTTGGAAAAGAGTGTTTGCTATGACCATCGTATTGTCTTGATAAAATTCTATCAGCCTGTGCCCTGCTTCATTTTGTACTCCAAGACCAAACTTGCTTGTTATCCCGATTATCTTTTGGCTTCCTACTTTAGCATTCCAATCCCCCATGATGATTTTTTGGTGTTAATTCTATAAGGTGCTGTAGGGCTTCATAGAACTGGTCAATTTCATCCTCTTCAGCACCAGTGGTTGGGGCATAGATTTGGATTGCTATGATTTTAAATGGTTTGCCTTGTATCTGAACTGAGATCATTCTGTCATTTTGGGGATTGTATCCCAGTATTGCTTTTCCTACTCTTTTATTGGCTATGAAGGCTACTCCATTTCTTCTGAGGGATTCTTGCCCACAGTAGTATACCTGATGGTCATCTGAATTAAATTCACCCATTCCTGTCCATTTTAGTTCGCTGATTCCTAAGATGTCGATGTTCAGTCTTTGTCATCTCTTGTTTGACCATGTCCAGCTTCACTTGATTCATGGATCTTACATTCCAGGTTCGTATGGAGAAAAAAATCTTTACAGCATCGGACTTTCCTTTCACCACCAGATGCATCCACAACTGAGCATCCTTTCGGCTTTGGCCCAGTCGCTTCACTCTTTCTGACGCTGCTAGTAGTAGCCCTCCACTCTTCCCCAGTAGCATATTGGACACCTTCCGACCTGAGGGGCTCATCTTCCAGCGTCATATCTTTTTTCCTTTTGGTACTGTCCATGGGGTTTTCATGGCAAATATACTGGAGTGGGTTGCCATTTCCTTCTCCAGTGGATCACGTTTTGTCAGAGCTCTCGGCTATGACCTGTCCGTCTTGGGTGGCCCTGCACGGCATAGCTCATAGCTTCATTGAGCTACGCAAGCCCCTTCGCCACAACAAGGCAGTAATCCATGAAGGAGAGGAAAAAAAGAAACTACTTGTTTTTAAATGTTTCTGGTTGGTATTCCAGATCATTCAATTTCCCTATTTTACCAGTAAAAAAAAAAACCTGCTTTATTTTGTTTGAACTATAGAAATAGGCAATCTTCACAATATACTGTAATCTACTTTTGAGAAATCCATCCAATGAAAAAAAAACAAAAAAGGCTTAATGGGAAATATGAAAGCAAAGCAGCCAGTTTGGATGAAGATGGTTGCATAAGATTTGTAGTAGAGCACTACAAGAAGGAGGATATAAAATGTAGAAAAATGCTAATGAGTGACTGATTTTTTTAAAAATAATTTAATATGTAATGGCATATTTACAGAGAGAAATGTACAGAGAAGTATATTTTTAGACAAAAAAGTAAATATATTCTTGTGGAACAAAATCTTACTAATTGTTTGGTTAGGATATGTGGACCGCGTCATGGTGAAACAAAGCAAAAAGAAATTGACTGGGGGAAACGTTGTGTAGATAAGTTTGATATCATTGGCATTATTGGAGAAGGCACATATGGGCAAGTTTACAAAGCAAGGGATAAAGATACAGGTAAGTTTAAAATTATAATTCACAACAAATATAATAAGTAATTGTTGCAGTTTCTATTAGTACAAGATCAGAATGCATACAGATAGTCCTTGACTTACGACCATAATTGAGCCCCAAATTTCTGTTGCTAAATGAGAGAGTTGTTAAGTGAATTTTACCTCTTACTGCAGTTGTTAAATGAATCACTGCAGTTGTTAAATTAATAACATGGTTATGAATTGAATCTAACATTCCCAATGACTTTGCTTGTCAGAAACTGCAAAGCAATCATAAATATGAGTTAATTGTCAAGCGTCTGAATTCTGATCATGTGACTATGGGAATGCTACAACACTTATAAATGTATAAAACAGTCATAAGTCATTTTATTCATTGCTGCTGTAACTTTGAATGGTCACTAAATGAACTGTTGTAAGTTGAAGACTATCTGTACTTATTCTTTAACATAGTATTTGGAAAACTCTTTATTAGTGATTTTATGGTTTCTTCATGTGTTCCGTTTTCTGTTGGGAGGAGAAATTCCTACACACACACACACACACACACGTATGTATATATGTATAGTAGGTATTAAGATAAGCATTTATGCTATCAAAAAGCTAAGAATTGGTTTGGCAATGTACATACCCCATAAAAATGAATACATTATGGAATTATGGCTTAGGTATATATGGAGACATGAGAGAAGACATGAAAACTGACTTAAGATGTGTTAATTCCACTCAATTAACTCTATTCAGTGCTGACTCCTGGCATTTTTCTGAACTACAGGTAGTTAGTTCTCAACTTAAAGCCATTTGTTTAGTGACTGTTCAAAGTTACAACAACATGGAAAAAAAGTGATTTTTCGTACAACGATTGCAGCATCCCCTAGTCATGTGATCAAAATTTTGGTGCTTGGTAACTGGCATGTATGTATGACAGTTGCTCTGTCCTGGGGTCATGTGATCACCACTTGTAACCTCAGCTGGTTTCCAACAAGCAAAATCATTGGGAGGAAGCCAGATTCTCTTAATGATGGCGTGATTCACTTAATATCTGCAGGGATTTGCTTAACAACTGTGGCAAAAAATGTACATGAGGCATAACTCACTTAATAACTGCCATGCTTAGCAATGGAAATTTGGAGTTCAATCGTGGTCATAAATTAAGAACTATCTGTAGTTTTGGCAGTTTACTTGACAAAATTTTGGAAGGGGTTTGGCATTGTGTTTCCTCAGGCTGAGAAAGAATGACTGGCCTAAGATGACATGTTTAAGGTAAAATTAGAACCCATAGCCTTTTGATTCCTAGCTATGTGACTTAATTATTATACTAGGTTGGCTGTCTAGTCTTTTAAAGTTAAGTCAATCTTGATTATAGCAATAGCACTTAGACTTCTATACCGTTTCATAGTGCTTTTACAGCCCTCTCTAAGCATTTTACAGAGTCACCATATTGCCCCCAACAATCTGGGTCCTCATTTGACCCAGGCTGAGTCAACCTTGAGCCGGTGAACTGCTGAACTGCAGCTAGCATAATTAATTAACTAATTGACAGAATACTTGATTTGCTGAATCAAAGAAAAGGCCTTGGTGAACTTCACGTTTTGATAAATATAGAGCTTGTAGAGATTTTTAATTCAAAATACTATAATTTATTAGTTAGTCACAATAGTTTTTTTCTATTCATATAATCTATTCTATATATTTATAATATGAAATTGTTTTCTGGTTATGTCATCCAATATGTTTAGTTCTTGCTAATAACAGTTTGACTAATATTTTCCTAGGGGAAATGGTGGCATTAAAGAAAGTACGGTTGGATAATGAAAAAGAAGGTTTTCCTATTACAGCTATTAGGGAAATAAAGATTCTTCGACAACTAAATCATCCAAGTATAATCAACATGAAAGAAATAGTGACAGATAAAGAAGATGCTTTAGATTTCAAGAAAGATAAAGGTATGTTTATAAGCATTATTTTGTCAGTACATAATTATAAGGTAATTTATAATTGTTTCTGGGAAAAAGACTGCTGATTTTAAAAACAAGCATGTACTGAATTGTACTGTTTCCATTCTTGTATATAAAAGTAGTATGTTAAATGCTTTTAACTTTTGCCTGCATTAATTCTGTCTTGCACCATGCTAGAACCTGGAAGTCCATGAGTTCTGTTCCACTTAGGCATGCAGGCTGCCTAGGTGATTTTGGTCAGTCCCAACCCAACTTACAAGGTTGTTGAGGGGAAAATAGGAAGATAAAGGAATATTAGATATGTTCACTGCTTTGAGTTATTTATAAAAAAGAAGGGGGATAAAATAGATAAATAAAGCTCCCTAGTTTCTTCCATTTTGTTGGCTTTATTTATTATATGTTTTTTAGGAAGTCCTTGATTTATGAGGAGTTGCTTAGCCATCTTTTGAAGTTATGATACATACCCCCTACCTCTGAAAGCTACTTATGACCAAGCTTCAAAGTTAAAGTTGCTGCAGTGCTCTTAGGTTCATTTGTCCTTACCATCAACCGCAGGGATGCTGTAGCAGCCCCTCCAGCTGTCTCCACCCTATTCTCCATTGTAGTGGAGGCAGCATCCAGAAATGAAATGGGTTGTCTTCATCTGTTAGCTAATAGGACTGAAACTGTCAAAGTTGCAAGGACATGCTTACACCAACGGTCCCCAGCTTTTGTCTCAGTCTTTGCTGTGGACAGACGTGTGTTTTGCAAGGGCAACTTATTTCTGGATTGCTAAAATTGGATTGTATAAATTGTTTTTTATTTTTATTTGTTCTCTGTGGCAGCTATATTACCAACGTACTGCTGTGCCACCAATATACCAGCGTGAAGAGCTTTTAGCTCAAGCCTGTTGAAGGCCGCCCCATGGCAAGCAGGCCACCGGCCGGTGACTGTTGGGCAGCCAGTTGAGCGTAGCTCACCGCGCTGACCCGACAGCCTAGGGACAAGGCTCTGAAGTATTCCGGCTTGACGGTAAGCTTAGCGCTCTGCTTCTGGCCAAAGGACAGCCAGGCTGATAGAAGCCTGGGCTGTCACTGACAGACACCGACGCTACGCTCAAGAAGACCCTACCCAATACGGGCATTCTCGTGAGTAGCCGGCCACTGCCCTAGAAGTGGGCACGATTCCCAAGCTTCTGCTGGTCTGAGCACTCTCGGAAGCAGCCCAGGGCTTTCCTTCATTGCGGCTGCAGCCTTTGATCGGCTCAGCTGTTCAGCGGCTTAGAAAAAATGGACGTGGCGCCCAGCGTCAATGGGACTCTGCCTGCCACTTTGGCCACCACACAGGTGGGCATCCTGGGCGACAAGCGTGCAGACATCTCGGGAGCGAGGTCTGCAGCAGGAAAGCGGCTGCGAAGATCTCAAAGAGATCAAAGAAGATTCCAAAGCCATCTAAGGCAGCGCAGAGGGACGAGGTGAGGCGCCAGAAGGCACTTGATAAGGAGGTGGCCAGGGCTCTGGCCAGCAGTGAGTCCATGCCCCAACCTTCTGGGGCACAATTTTCCCACCATTATGCAGAACGGCAGTTAATTTTACCTCAGGCTTCTGACAGTCGGCCTAGCCATTCTCTGTCACCAGATGGTACTGCTGAGTTGCCTTTAGCAGGCAATCTGCCCAGCAATAGGGAAAGTACCTCCCTCCCAGATCCCTTTCCTGCCTCTACAGCTTGGCAACAGCCTGTTAGACCCAGGGTTTTAATCCCAGAGGCCACATATACCCCAAGTGCATCGGATATCCGATCAGGGGAGAGACAACAAGGCCAATTTCCATTTAACATGGAGGCCATTATTTCTGATGCCATTGAAAAAGGTATAGCAGCTGGGTTGCAGTGCAGCCACAGCCACAGGGAAGCTTCCCTCAGGTCGGACTACTCAGGATCTGTAGATGTGTACCCATAAGGGGATAGGCTTCAAAGGGGTTGTTGCACTCTCAGCGGTCTTACTCCCCAGTGTCATCCACTCACTCTGATTCTGATTCCCAGGAGGATGTGGATAGAGAGATGGAGCTCTCAGAGGACAAGGGCTTATCCCCTGACCAGCCAACCTTTGTTGGCCTTTTTCGTCCTCAACTATTTAAATCTCTATTATATAAGGCCACAACCACAGCATGATTGGCTGGACATCTGCCTGCGCCAGACCCATCTGCTGAGTCAGCCCAAGCCAGGGAATCTTTCTTCTCTGAACCCAAAGCTGAGGCCGAGGTGGTTCCCTCTCCGCAGTTGTTTGTAGATGTTGTTGGCAGACCGTGGGCACTCCAGGGGCAGGAGCAAATCCTAGCTCCCTGGATAAAAGATTTTTCAACATGGCTCCAGAGTTATCACAGACACTTCAGGTGCCAGCTGTGGATGGTCCAATGGTCTCATTAGTTACTTCATCCGTTATGACGGATGCTCCAGAAGAGGCCCTTCGACTGGAGGACAGACGAGCTGAGCAATCTCTGAAGAAGGTTCACCTGTCGGTGGCATGGGCCGTAACGGCCTCAATGGCTGCGTCTTTCTTTAACCGTGCCTCCTTAATGTGGCTCAGACAATTGCAGGACAAAATCCCTTGTGTGGATCTTGTGGCGGAAGTGAGAATCCATCAGGACCTGAATAGGTTGTCGGCTGCTCTTGAGTTCTCAGTGGACGCGACGCTTGGAGCAGCAAGATTTGCCTCGAAAGCCATTGCTTCATCGGTGGCATCCAGGCGCCTTTTATGGCTTCGCCAGTGGCAGGCGGATGCCAAGCAGAAGTGGCGACTGGCTTCTGCCCCATTCTCGGGGAAGCAATTATTTGGAGAGCCACTGGAGCCGCTGCTCGTGGAGACGAAGGAGAAATGTAAGGTCCTTCCCTCTCTTTCCCCCTGGACAGATCCACACCCTTCCCCATATTACAAATGCCAGTCCTTCTGGGGACATGACGGGTGGGTTGGCCCAGTTAGGGCTCAGTGGCCATTCCAATCTAGGCAGGATCAACAGCAGGATGGGGCAGGGAAATTCAAGTACTTCCCACCCAGATGGCCCTTTTGAGGGGGAGGGAGCCGTCTTTTCTGGTGCCAGCGATAATTGCCTCACAGGCCCTCCCATTGGGGAACGCCTGGTCAAATTTGCCAGGCAATGGGAGGGCATTACTACGGATGCATGGGTTTTGAATACCGTCCGTTCGGGCCTCTCTCTAGAGTTCCTTTCTACTCCCCCAAAGTTTTTCATTTCTTGCCCCATTTCGGGTAATCAGAGTAAACGGGACCTCATGGAAACTGCTATCCAACATCTTTTTTTTTTTTTTTTTAATTTTGATTTATATGCCGCCCTTTTCCGGAGACTCAGGGCGGCTTACAATGCTTTAAGCAATAGCCTTCATACCTTTGTATATTTTATACAAAGTCAGCTTATTGCCCCCACAAACTGGGTCCTCATTTCACCTACCTTAGAAAGGATGGAAGGCTGAGTCAACCTTGAGCCTTGGAGAGATTCGAACCAGCAGTAATTGCAGGCAGCTGTGTTAATAACAGGGTGCTTAGACCACTGTACCATCAAGGCTCTTTTGGATATCCATGCTGTTCAACCAGTTCCAGAAGCCAAATGGGGGCTGGGATTTTACTCCATCCTCTTTGTAATTCCGAAAGCCTCGGGCGGGTATAGGGCAATTCTAGACCTCAAAAGACTAAACCGCTGTGTGATTTACAAGCGGTTCAAGATGCATTCTCTTAAGTCCATTTTGGACAGCGTCAGGGAGGGCAACTTCCTCACCTCTATAGATTTAACTGAGGCTTATTTGCATATCCCCATTCTTCCAGATCATAGGCAGTATCTCCTCTTCTGTTATGCGGGCCAGCATTAACATTACTGGGACTTGCCCTTTGGCCTTTCATCAGTGCCTAGGATTTTCACGAAGGTGTTGGCGGTCTTAGCGGCCTACCTTCGGGCTTGTCCTGTGCGGGTCTAGTGTTATCTGGATGACATCCTGATCCAATCCGCCTCTAAGGACCAGGCGTGTGTGGACATCAATGTCACCATGCAGGTGCTTCAGGAGCACAGGTTTTCTGTCAATCGGCAGAAGAGTCATTTGACTCCAACAACACGGTTGCTGCATTTGGGAGTGGAGATTGGCACCATTGCATGCAGGGTATTCTTTTCCCAGGACCTCCAGGCGAGCCTTGTTGAGCTCGTGAATCACATCAAAGGGGTTCGCTCGGTGCCCCTAGTGATGCTTTCGCGCCTCCTGGGCAAGATGGTGTCCTGCATTTCAGTCATGCCATGGGCACGCTTGCACGCCAGGTCAGTCCAGTGGTTTCTTCTCCCTTATCAGAGGGCAGGTACCAGCACTTCCCTGCACAAGGTTAGGCTACCTCCAGTGGCATTGCATTCCCTGGAGTGGTGGGTTTCCCCAGCGCTTGCTGACAGTTGTTCATTTAAAGAACCTGAGCGCCTGACGGTAACGACTGATGCCAGTCTCTTATGGCTGGGGGGCTCATCTACAGGACAGGGTGGCCTAGGGCAGGTGGTCTCAGGCAGACTTAGCCCACAACATTAATTGGCTAGAACTCAGGGTGGTCCCTTAGGGAACTTAGCGAACTCCTTAGGAAGTTCCAGGACCTGGTGTCTGGCAGGCACCTACTGATTTTAACTGACAAGGTGACCGCTAAGGCACATATTAACAGACGGGGGGAACCAATCCAGGGCCCTTATGGAAAAGGCTGAAAGTCTTTGTAGTTGGGCGGAGCAACTCCAAATGTCATTGAGAGCAAAGCACATTGCAGGGACTGCCAACGTTCAGGCAAATTGGCTCAGCAGGGCTACAATTGACCACGCAGAGTGGCACCTGCATCCGGATTTGTTTCAGGAGCTGACGGAGTGCTTCGGATGACCGGCTGTGGACCTCTTCGCCACCCCGGACAACACTCACCTGAACAGGTTCTTTGCAAGGTTTGCGGTTCCAGGAGCGGAGAACGTTGATGCGCTTCATAGCCCTTG